CTCAGCTACTACTTTTTAGTATTTGTCCCAATTAGCATGTGTGTCTGATTTTTATAAAAAGAGGGAGCTCTGGTGATGCTTGATTGACTTTTAAAATCTGTCTTATCATCTATTACCTGTCCTGTTTACTTTTGATTTAAATATTATTTATTAAATCCAGACATTGTCCTTCAATTATTATAATTTGGGTTGAATTTTCTTTTGATAAAATAGAAGAATGTATTTTTTTTCCTTAAGTCTGTTATACTAGTATATTTTTTCTGACTGCATTTATGTTAATTGATACTATACTGTAAAATATGATATTTTAGAGACTAGTGTGTGGTAAACAGTACTTTAGAGGATTTAAAAAATATTCTTTATTTCATTAATTTTCTTAAATTTTTATTTAAGAGCAAAAAGTATAAATAACATTTTTTTTAAAAGTGGCAATTTAAAAGGTGGCTGGCTAGTGCAAGATAGGAGCTTAGTGTTTTACTTTTTTCCAATATCTTGACGTATTTTGCTATTTCATCATCCTAAGAGTTAGTTATCAGTATCAATTATTCCCAACTGTAAGAAAGTGGCAAAGTGATGAAATTGCCTGAAAGGATGATGGCAGTGAAATAAGTCATCACTATGAGTTGGAATCAAGTTGACAGCAGTGGATTTTTTTGATCGTCCTTCAGTTTTAATTTTGCACTGCCCAAAGTATTGCACCATCTTTCAAGTAAGGTATCAAAGAAGTCTGGAGATGCCATCATTGTAGTCATGGTCACTGTTGTCCTTTGTTTTTTTTTTTGTTGTTGTTTCATTGAATACAGTTAAGGACTGAGAATTTTTAAGTCTTAGCTTACATTGGTAATGAAAAGAAAATTGACAGGAAGGCAGTTTTTCACAATTATTAGACAAACCAGAAAATGAATCCAGTGAAACAGCAGCATTCTAGACTAGCGCTGTCCAGTAGAAATATGTGAGCCACATATGTAATTTTAACTGTTAGTATCTACAGCAAAGACCAGAAAAGAAACAGGTGAAATTAATTTTAATAATATATTTTATTTAACCCAATACATACAAAATGTTATCATTTCAACAAGTTATCAATTAAAAATTGTATTCTTTTTTTTTAATACTGCCTTTAAAATTTTTTATTTTACACTTAACACATCTCAGTTCAGATCAGCGACCTGTCAAGTGCCCAATATCCACATGTGGCTAATGGCTACCTACCTTATTGGACAGCCCAGCTTTAGACTCTAATGGTAATGGTGAAATTGATTATGAAATTGATTAAATATGGAAATCTCAGTCTGTGAGTTTTCAGATGAAAGTATCCAGTAGCAACAACGTGAGCGAAATGTAGATCAAAAAGGGAAATGGTATTTATTTGTCTGCTTTTCATCTACTTCCTGCCTCTTCCTCACATTTCATAAGAACTATTAGGTGATTAGGATTGACACAGTGGCTACAACGAGTGGGCTCAAGCATAACAACGATTGTGTGGATGGCGCAGGACTGGGCAGTGTTTCATTCTGTTGTACATGGGGTCGCCACGAGTCAGAAGTGACTCGATGGCACCTAACAACAACATCATTAGGTGATTCTAAAAACACCTGAGTGGAAATAGTGTCGTGAAGAACATTTCTCATGGGTGTTGTTAAAAATACAGGAAATTGGTATTTTCTAGTTCTTTCATATTTAATGTCTTGTGATTTGCAGAATGCTCATAAATTTTATGAGTTCTTGGTTTATTTTAGCTTTCATATTCTAAGATGCTCTGAATGAAAACATATTTTCTGATAATCACAGTGTTTAGCGTCAAATATTTTTGACTTTGGGACTGTACATTTATTGAATTAAATAATTACTTAAGTATTTAATTCCTTTCCCTTGCATGTTTTCATTCTGATAATATATTAAGTTTTGGAATATCTACTACTGTTTATCTTAAGTTACTTAATCATTTGTGTTAAAGTTATTTCGAATTTGTGTTAATATTTTTTAGATCTCTTTTGTTTAGTATGAATAGTGATTTACTGGCACTTTTAGCTTTTGTGTATGATTAGGAAGAGAAAATATGTGATTAACAGGTGATATTTATGCTTAGGAGATCCAGTCTTTTCCACTTTCAGATTTGGGGTTTAAGTATCTTTAGTTTCCAGAGGACAAGGACCAGAGTTGTTCTAAGTCTGGCTCACTGAATGGCAGCTCTCGTTAGATATCACTTGGGAGTACTCGTAACTGCGTCCTGAGCTACTGGCCCTAAGAAGGGAATAAAGAAGAGTGGAGAGAGCACTGAGTTTTGTAAGCTCTTTGCAGAAGAAGAAAAATTCTCGTGAATCTTTAGCTTTTATCAGTGCAGTACCCTTTCTTACGAAGTATATTCTACATAGAGAAAGTTTAACTAGTAGGATAATATGGTTGTAGGTTCAATTTCGAACAAAGAACGTGTAGGGATGGAAAGGGGTATGAGCACAAAAGACAAGTACAAGAGAATTTTAAAGAGAATTATCACTAAATATTAAGTCTTTTGCTTTAAATAACAAAGTTTTTTTAAAAAGATACTATTTTTCCCCTCTTTTTGCCCTTGATTTATTGACATTTAATAAGAATTCTGAAGGAGAACTTCTTAGCTTCTCGAGGGAACAAGTGGCTGAGGGGAAAACTTCTGAGCCTGAATTTGACCCATCTGAAGGATAAAATCCATTTCTACCATATATATTTTTTAGTTTTTCCTTTGCCCCTCATATCCTTAGCTGAGTACCCAGTGCACCATTAATTCTTGCACCAGTATTTAAAACATTATTTCAATTTAAGAACTTGTGTATGTGTGTGTATTTTGCTTTTTATTTTATTTTATATTTTAATTATATAAAACATTTATATAGTTTGAAACTGAAAACTGTAATACAGGGAACATTCAGCAAATCTAGCTTCTATGTATGTCCATTCTTCCCCTTTGTTATTTCTCTTCTCTCCCTTAGTCAGATTTATTCTTCTATTTCTCTTTAAAAATATAAGTAGACATGTACGTGGCTCTTCATATTTTCTTACCTTTCTTAACACAGAAATGCATACTTTTCTGCCTTCGCTTTTTTCACTTAACACTATATTCCAAAGAACACTTCATAGCAATATATAGGTATTTTCCCCTTTCTGTTACAGCTGCATTGTATTCCATTTTATGGATGTAGCATAGTTTATTTAACCAGTTCCCCACTGATGGACATTTGAGGTTTTTTTTGTAGTCTTTAGTCTTTTGTTATTATAAATAATCTTGCAATGAATAGCAGTTTTGGAAGACCTCATTTCTTTATAGGAGCCCAGGTGGCACAGTGCTTAAATGCTGCGGCTGCCTGTTAAACAAACGGTCAGTAGTTTGAGTCCACCAGCGCTCCCTGGAAGCCCTGGGGGGCAGTTCTCCTCTGTCCTATAGGGTCGCTGTGAGTCGGAATCGACTCAGCAGCAATGGGTTTGTTGGCACAGTGGTTAAGAGCTCAGCTGCTAACCAAAAGGTCAGCAGTTTGAATCCACCAGCCACTGTTTGAAAACCCTGTGGAGCAGTTCTCTTGTGTCCTGTAGGGTTGCTATGAGTTGGACTCGACTCAGTGGCTGAGGGTTTGGTTTTTGGTTTGGTACTAAAGGAAAATAAACATTAATGTTTTAAACAGAGACTGATGTTAACTGATTTTGGATGGAGATTCATATTAACTGGTTGCTGAGAAAATTAGTTTCATACTATAACAGATACCAACTAGTTTGTGTCATTTATTGTCCAATTTTTCTACTTTTCATATAGATTATAATATTTCTGGGAGTGTTTTTCCTCATCTATAGCAATGAACTGGAAATTGTTACAGTAATACCATTCCTAATCAATTCAATATATGAATCATTCTCATAAGGCATTTGTTGGAATTAAAATTTTTTGTATATATGACACCAGGTTAGATATGCTATTTGGTCAAGATGAGTGCCTTTTCTCCTCTCCGCCCCGCATTTTTCCAGTGGTTTCATGTGGTATGATAACATAAAGCAGAAAGAATACATTTGCTATGTTTTCAGTGATTAAGATGAAAACAAAAAGGATACAAGGTTTGGTAATCAGCCCAAATAGCTAGGAAAATGGAGTGTCCATTTATAGTAAGACTGATTTAGATAATCTGTTTAAAGCTAGTGAAATGAGTAAATTCAAATGAAAACAAAAGAATAGTTGTAAAATGCTTAGCATGGAGCAAGAGAAAGTTGACGTTTTAAGAATCACATTTGTGCAAAAAGAGAAAATACGTACACCGCTGTAGCAAGTCGAGTTGGTTAATAAGGTAAGTATGCTTTGAAATTCCATTTAAAGAGGCTTTGTTGATAATCATACTCAAGTGCTCAGATTCTAAAGTAGGATTTGTTAACCTCAGTACTGTTGACATTTTGAATAGTTGTTAGTGGCCTTTGAGTAGATTCTGACATTTTCTACAGGATAATTATTTGTTGTGGATCATTCCTGACCTCTTCCCCCTAGATGCTACTAGCAATCCCTTCCCCCACCTACAACCAAAAATACCTCTAGATGTTGCTGAATGTCCCCCTAGGGGTCAAAAATTACCCTTGGTTGAGAACCATTGTTTTGAAGTGATAACGTTTATGAAAAGGAGCTATTTATGACCATGTTACTGGTGGCAGGGGGCACAAAACTTAAGGTCTAAAATCTTTTTACTCATGTAGGTGATATTTTAAGCATTAATAGGTAAGTAGGTTGTGGGACCACACTGTATGTTTGGGAATAAGTCAATTCCATTTTTGCAAATATATGTACTCCCATTTATGAATATGTTTATGTATATGTGGCTTAAAAGATTATACACACATATAGATATATGTACACATATATGTGTTTGTATTCTACATATATCTTAAAGCATGGTGAAAAATGCTTACTGCTAGAGATTATCTTTCACATGTTTTGGAAATTTTGTCTGTTTCTAATAAGAAATTTTAACTGTTTTATATATTGTTAATTTTAGCTACTACTCCATGGTTTGAATCTTATAGAGATACCTTTCTTCAGTCGATGCCAGCATCAGATCATGAATTTCTGAACCACTATTTAGCATGTATCCTTTGATTTTCATGTTTTTTTAAAACCAAATGTTACCGAAGTTATTAATCTCAGAAATAGTTAAATGAAGGCAAAATTACTGGAAGGATATAGAAAATGGAGAAATTATTTTTTATTGATATGTCAAGTTTTTGTTATTATTACTGTTTTTGTTAAATGGCATCCTAGATACAGAATGACTATAATTTATCTTTGATTACAAACTAAGACTGCTGAGGTCTTCCTTATTCTTTTTCCTGTAGCTTGAATATTTCACGCTTAATAAGTTTTTAAACCATTTTAGAAAGAGAAAATACAACCTGCCAATGTTAACTGCTTTTGCTAATTGCCTCAGAATTAATGGCTTATTCTAAAGCTTATATTTAAAAACACATTTTTAAAAAATAATTTGTTTTATGGATATTAACCTCCTTTGATGATTGTGACTTTCAGCTTTCTTAACGAGGTTGCAGAGAAAAGTTGAGAGTTAGAAAGTAAGTGAGATGGAATGGAGAGGAGCAAGATTCAGCAGATAGTTGTATAATTTTGGCATTGAGCATTTTTATTTTTATAGATTTCTTTATTGAATATGTAAAGGATGCAAAAAAAGTCAACAAAAGATTAAGATTAGAACCTTGAATTACCTTGGAGTGTTGGAGGAATTATTTTGTGCTTGCAGTGAAAACGTACAAAATCAGATTTTTTTTTTAAGCTGAGAAAATACGTCCTTAAAGTTTATTTTAATAGGATAATATTTATCATTGTGTGAAAAGTGGTAATATCCTTAACAATATGGTATACAAGGTATGTTGGTAACATCTTCTAGTGAAGCTGAACCTGTGGAACAGTTTTCAAAGCTGTCACAAGAACAGCATCGAATTCAACACAACAGTGAATATTCCTACCCTAAGTGGTTTATACCAAATACACTTAAATATTATGTACTTTTACATGATGTAAGTGCAGGCGATGAACAGAGGTAAGTTTTATTTTTTTAATTAAAAAAATTTTTCCTGCTGTCAAATATATCTGTTTAGAGCTAATTCTGTTGTTTTGTTCTGTTGTATGTAGGGTTGCTGTGAGTCAGAACTGACTCAACAGCACCTAACAACAGAGCTAATTACATCCTACCTGTTAAATGAAATGATTTGACATTAATTTGGATATAGATGTTTAAATTGTGGATTTATTTTTTTACCCAAGAAAGTAAAAATTTTATTACACTTTGAATTTACTAATAAAGCATTTAACTTTGTCTTTTATTCCAGAATTACATTTAACAGCTAAGTTTATGTTAGATTTCATATACTTACCCAAACTTTTCTTTCACTTTCTTTTACTATAATCTTTGTACAAAAGAACTTGTCTTTTTACACCTATGGGTCTTAGCAGTTATTTCTTACTTTATATAAAATTATTTCTCGTTTTTCTTTTCCTTTTCTCCTTCCGAGTTTTCTTCTAAATTTTCACTGCCTTACTGTGGCTTACAAGTTATAAGTACTGCTTTTTTCACTCTTTACTTCTTGTCACTTGATAGTTTTAATCTTGATGCTTTTCACATTCTCAGAAACATAAACATTTCCTTCTTATCTGTGGGATAAGTGAATAATGTCTCTTTAAAATTAAAATAAATTCTTGAAAATTAAAATAATATTAAAAGAAATTTTACTTTTTGGCTTTGAGCTTATTTTGACTTTTGGTTCAAGGTGTGGCTCAAATTATTCTTTTGTTTCAAACTGATATCTCAGTGCATGTAGAATATGTTGTTAAATGATCATTTCTTGCCTTTGTTCTGAGTGGAAGCCATAATTTATTTTTTCTCCTTTTCGTTTTTTTATTGTACTTTAGGTGAATGTTTATAGAACAAATAGTTTCTCATTAAACAGTCCGTACACATATTGTTTCATGACATTGGTTCACAACCCCACGACATGACAACCCTCTTCCTTCTCGACCTTTTTTTTTTTTTTTGGTGAAAATATACATAGCCAAAGATACACCATTTCAAAAATTTCTACATGCACAATTCAGTGACATCGATTACATACTTCCAGTTGTGCTACTATTCTCACTTTAGATGAAGGTTTACAGAACAAAATAGTTTCTCATTAAACAGTTAGTACACACGTTGCCCTATGACAGTGGTTAACAACCCTACTACATGTCAACACTGTCCTTACTCAACCTTGGGTTCCCTATCACCAGCTTTCCTGTCCCCTTCTGCCTTCTAGTCCTTGTCCCTGGACTGCTGTACCTCATTAGTCCTGTTTTGTTTTATCGGGCTGTCCAATTCCCGGCTGAACGGTGAACCTCGGAAGTGACTTCACCACTGAGCTAAAAGGGTGTCTGGGGGCCATACTCTTGGGGTTTCTGCAGTCTTTTTCAGGCCAGTAAATCTGATCTTTTTTTGTGTGTGTTAGAATGTTGTTCTACATCCTTCTCCAGCTCTGTCTAGAATCGTCTGTTGTGATCCCAGTCAGAGCAGTCAGTGCTGGTAGCTGGGCACCATCTTAGCTGTACTGGACTCAGTCCGGTGGAGACCTTGGTAGCTGTGGTCCATTAGTCCTTCGGACTAATCTTTTCCTTGTATCCTGTTCTCTTCATTCTCCCTTGCTCCCGAAGGGGTGAGACAAGTGGAGTATCTTAGATGGTTGCTCACAGGCTTTTAAGACCCCAGACGCTACTCACCAAGGTAGAATGTAGAACATTGTCTCTGTAAAGTGTGTTATACCAGTTGAGCTAGATGTTCCCCAAGACCATGATCCCCACAGCCCTCCTCCCAGCAATTCAGTCCCTCAGGGAGTTTGGATGTGTCTATGGAGCTTCCATGACCTTTTCTTGTACAAGTTGTGTTGGTTTCCCCAGTACTGTGTACTGTCACTCTTCACCAAAGATACCATTTATCTATTGTCTATTTAGTATTTCCCCCACACCCCTCCCATCCCTCGTAACCAGTAAAGATTGTTACTTTTTGTGTGTAAACTTGGGTTTTTACAATAGAGGTCTCATACAATATTTGTCCTTTTGTGATTGACTTATTTCACTCAGCATAATGTCCTTCAGTTTCATCCATGTTATGAGATACTTCACAGATCATCATTATCCCTTATCGTTGCATAGTACTCCATTGTGTGTATGTACCATAGTTTGTTTATCCATTTGTCTGTTGATGGGCATCTAGTTTGTTTCCATCTTTTTGCTATTGTGAACAATGCTGCCATGAACATAGGTGTGCATATGTCTGTTCGAGTGACGGCTGTTATTTCTCTAGGATATATTCCTAGGAGTGGGATTGCTGGATCGTATGGTACTTCTATTTCTAGCTTTCTGAGGAAGCGCCATGTCATTTTCCAAAATGGTTGTATCATTTTGCATTCCCACCAGCAGTGCATAAGAGTTCTGATCTCCCTGCAGCCTCTCCAACGTTTATTTCCAGTGTTTTTGATACGTGCCAGTAATGCCAAGGTGAGATGGTATCTCATTGTGGTTTTAATTTGCATTTCTCTGATGGCTAGTGATCGCAAGCATTTATTTCCTCTACTGTCTGTTGGCCGCTTTAATGTCTTCTTTGGTGAAGTGTCTGTTCATTTCCTTTGCCCATTTTTTAATAGGATTATTTGTCTTTTTGTTGTAGAGGTGTTGGATTTTCTTGTAGATTGTGGAGATTAGACCTTTGTCTGACTTGTCTGTCTAAAAATTTTTTCCCAGTCTGTAGGTTCTCTTTTTACTTTTGGTGAAGTCTTTTGAAGAGCATAGGTGTTTGAGTTTTAGAAGATCTCAGCTATCTAGCTTATCTTCTGGGGTTTGTGTGTGTTGATGGTTATGGTTTGTATCCTGTTAATGCCATGTATTAGGGCCTGTAGCATTGGTCCGATTTTTTCTTCCATGAACTTTTTAATTTTTGGCTTTATATTTAGGTCTTTGGTCCATTTTGAATTAGTTTTTGTATATGGTGTGAGGTATAGGTCCTGTTTCATTGTTTTGCTGATGCATATCCAGTTTTGCTGGCACTGTTTGTTAGAAAGACTGTCTTTTCCCCATTTGATGGACTTTGGCCCCTTGTCAAAGATCAGGTGACTGTAGGTGGATGGATTTACATCTGGGTTCTCAATTCTGCTCCATTGGTCGATGTATTTGTCATTGTACCAGTATCAGGCTGTTTTGACTACCGTAGTTGTGTAGTAGGTTCTGAGGTCAGGTAGTGTGAGTCCTCCTACTTTATTCTTTTTCTTCAATAGTGCTTTGCTTATTCAGGACTGGAAGCCATCATTTTTAAAAATAATTTTTCTTCTATAAAACCAGAGTTTAAGACATATTCGGAAGAGTACTAACCTTTGGGATTTTTTGAAATGTCAGAAGCTTGGTGGAGAAAGTGTACTATATAAATAAAAGTAATTCAAACTGACTATTAAAATTTGTTTCTATTAGTTGAATATGATACATAGCTTCCATTTTGAATAGTTGTAACTAGAATATTTAAGTGGTAGTTCAAGTATTAGATCAGTTGTTCTTAAGTTTAGTGGTATCATTGGTGAAACAAGCAAGGGGTTTGTTGTGTTGTTCCATGAGTGTATGTACATGTAGGCATATAGTTATGTCTGTTATTTATACAAATTTATAACTTTTATTTACCCAACTTAATTTTATGTGTGAAATATGGGTTAGTTGTTTCTTGAGCTTGTTATTTGTTTAGTATTAACATCTACATTCGAATGTATATTTTCCAGTTGTTTTTTTTACAGTGAATGGCTGATTGATTTGAAAATACCTATTTAAACTAGGTCAGCTTTGTGGAAGAGTTTTCATTTACCACCAGTTTATACCGTTTACTTCTTAGATTGTCTTATCATTTGAATGATCTCATCTTCCATCAACCAGCAAATTTAGTTATCTGAAAGTATTGGACATACTTTGGATAACTCTGCTCTAAGGTGATATTCAAGCTAACTAAATTTAAGTTAGGACCATGACTGTTGTTTAAATTTTTTATTGTTCTACCCTCTTATTTTCCGTTAGGCCTTTTTGGGTGTTATTTTTTGCATTTTAATATCTACTTTTGCTTGAAGTCTGCTCCCCATTTGCTACAAACTTTTTTCTATTTTTTTAAATTTTAGAGCTGATTCAATTTATGAAGAAATGAAACAGAAATACGGAACTCAGGGTTGCTATTTACTTAAAATTAATTCTCGAACATCTAATCGATCATCAGATGAACAGATACCAGATCCTTGGAGTCAGTATCTCCAGAAAAATAGTATTCAAAACCAGGTATATGTAAAAAACAACAACAATGAAGCAAACCACAAAACCTGTATTTCAGTTTTATCACGCAATGATATCACTGTAGAATTTTCTTATGCCTTGGTCTGACTAGTGCAATTATGAATATTTACTTTGTGCAGTTTTGCTAGTTTCGGAATCAGTGGCTCAAAAACTGTTTTTAGTCAACTACAGTTATTCCTTATGTGTTCTTTTTTCAGGTATATAGTATTAGTGTTCATTGATTTTTTTTCTTAAATGATGAAAAGTGGATTGCACATTAAGAATTTAATTAGACTGACTAGACATGTTGAGAGAATTTTTGGCTTGTTTATTTAATTGATTATGAATGCTTATAGTCAATTCTTTATTATCCACATGCTCTGGGGTTGCCTTTCTTCATTTTCAACATGCTGTTCTTATGGCCACCTTTTGGAGCTCATACTTTTTAGGTGGGTGGGCTATTTTCTCTGACTTTTCTTTGATTTCCTTTTGAATTTTCAGGGAGTGTTGTTTTTTCCTTAAGTCTTCTTTTGTTAATCTAGAGTTCGACTAATACTAATATCTGCTGGCTGAAATGGGTGGGTGTAAAGTTTTAAGTTCTGTCAAACTTTTAAGATAGAATTGTATGGCACTTGGTAATATGCAAACGCAAAGTTCCTATAATTAGTTCAGATAATCAAGAGTTGACTGTTTTTGTTGAGAAGGGGGATTTCTTAAGTAAATGGAAAATCTATTTTGTACAATGAAACCACATCATGTACTTTTTATGTGATATTTAAAAGATATCTATAATAATAAAGTTTATCTGATTTTTTAATCTTCTAGAATAAATATTTAATAATCTGTTTATTTGCCTTTTTTGATCTTAGATATGGAATTTTGGATCCCGATATAGTGCTGTACTTGTATTTTACATACTTCGATATTATTCTTGAGTTCATTACTGATGACTTCTTTAAGATAATGCTGGGGAAAAGTGTGTGAGATAGAACCAGTTAGATCTGAAGGAGCCTTATTTTTGAAATGGTCTTTCAGGGCCACACTCAAATAGGAACAGTACTGAAAAATTCAAGTCCCTGCTATGTAAGGTTGGGAAGGAGAATATAAGCCAGGTAGTCCAGTTTGAGAACCTTTAGCAGAAGACAGAGGTACCAGAGATTCCGTAGCTTAGAATCCTAAAAGCTCAAGATTGTAGGATAGTTGAAAAGCAATCAGACTTATACTCCTGATTTAATGCTTTAATTTCCTTTAAACTTATAAATGACCTCATGTAGTGACAGTACTCAGTTTCTTTTAGTGACCCATTCCATGACTGAACAGTTTGAGTAAATCAGCCAAAAGTTTTCTATTTCTTATACCTATTGGTCCTATCGATTTTCCATTAAGACAACTTCTAAAATATAGAAGGATAGTTCCATCTTCTCTTTTATTTTTTTTCCAGGCTAAATATACCCAATTTCTTCAACTCTTTTGCATGCTGGTTTCAGACTGTTCCTTATCTTAGTCACTTTGCTCCGATTAAGTTCTAGTTTCTGTATTTCCCACAAAGCGTGCCACTCAGAATACCTTATATTTACTGGTTTGTGTAGTAGATTGGGTATTTTTAGTTTATGTTTTCTCGTTGACTGAACAGCTGATATCTTTGTACAAATAAACATTGAATGGAATATTTTTCCAAAGCTCTTTGATATATTCAAAATTCATTCTAACATGCTAACACCATGTTTGTGACCAAGGAGATGCTGTACCATTCCTATTTTCCTCCCCTGCCTGATGCTAGTAATTCATCTCTCCTGCTGTTATTCCTTGCTTAGACACATATATAGTTAACCATATATAAACGGATAAGCTGAGGTAGAGTTAATTTGAAATCAGGAGAATTAGGGTCACAGGTTGAGTGTAAAAGGGAGTTTAAGAATATAAACCAAAAAAACCCATTGCCGTCAAGTTGATTCTAACTCATAGTGACCCTATAGGACAGTAAAACTGCCCCATAGGGTTTCCAAGGAGCAGCTGGTGGATTCGAACTGCTGACTTTTTGGTTATCAGCTGTAGCACTTAACCATTTGGAGTGGATCATGTAAGATACATGGAAGAAGTTAAGAATTTGGAAGACTGGAAGAAAAGAGTTTTGCTGGAGAAAATAAATGATGCTAGCAATTATCAGAGCAACCATAGTTGTTAAATAGTTTGATGAGATCTTAAATGATTAAATATAGTCTCTAATGCTGTTTTATTTTATTTTGATAGGAATCATATGAAGATGTTTCTTGTACTATAACTTCAAATAAGAATTCTGATAGTAACTTGCTTTCATTGGATGGATTAGATAACGAAGTCAAAGGTCTTGATATACTTTCTCTAAGTTTCTTTTTTGATTAAACATGTACACTGTTATCAAAGCATGCTAACCTTTATTGGTAAAATATGGGGGAAATTTTCATTAAAAAAAGCTAGTGGGCAGGTTAACTTTTGTTCTGAAAGTTTTATTGGGTGATTTAGGTTTGATTTTTTCTTATTTAAGAATTTGCTTTATAATAATGTACAAATTTCTTTTTTAAAATACTTCTATAGAAAGCAAGGAAACATGTGATGCACAACATTGATTATTCCCAAAATTCACATGATTTTGAGAGCTTTATTTCTGTATTTAAAAGTATAGTTTGAATAGGGAGAGTTCCAAAAATTTTTTGTTATAATTTTTCTTCTGGCCTAATTATGCTATTTAAAAGTAATTCTTTATATTATTTAAAAACTGTATTTTTCTTCATTTCTTGATTTAGATGAATTTTTAAATTTCTGTTACATATACTGAATATTAATCCAAGCCCTCTAATTTTACTGGGGAAAATATTAATGTTATTGTGTCTTAGACATCTAAGCTATACAGAAAGATTATACTTAAGAGTTCAAACATTCTTATTTCTTTTTCTTTAGCAGTATGGTAGTATTATCACAATTTTCTCTTGCATTGTAAGAGTAAAAGAAAGATCTATTTTTCAGTAGATGGCTTACCAAATAACTTTAGAGCTCACCCACTTCAATTGGACCAATCCAGTGACCGTTCTAACAGCATTGATGGCCCAGATCATGTAAAATCTGCATCATCATCACATGAAACAAAGAAAGCAAGTACTGGAATAACTCATGGTGCGTGTTTAACCCTTACCGATCATGATAGAATTCGACAATTTATACAAGAATTCACATTCCGGGGCCTTTTGCCACATATAGAGAAAACAATTCGGCAATTAAATGATCAGGTAAGACTTAATTTTTTGGATTAGTATTTTAAAAAATTCAGTAAATAGTAGACTTGAAAATATAGTAGTATAAGTTGTTTAAAGTATCTGAAATGTTTTTGTTTTAAGATAGGCCAATATTAGGACTTACTGAAAGTTTTCTTAAGTGATGAAATTCTATTAAACCCTGGAAAGGCCTATTAGTTTTCAGTAGGGCTTTTGCCATCGTATTAGATAGCCTTCTTTAAATCAGTGTTATTACTCTGGTGAGTGGTGTCTGAGGTCTTAAAAGCTAGCGAGTGGCCATCTGAGATGTATCAATTGGTCCCAACCCACCTGGAGCAAAGGAGAATGAAGAACACCAAAGACACAAGGAAAATATTAGTCCAAGAGACAGAAAGGGTCACATAAACCAGAGACTCCATCAGCCTGAGACCAGAAGAACTAGATGGTTCCCAGCTACCACCAATGAACGTCCTGACAGGGAACACAACAGAGGGTCCCTGATGGAGCAGGAGAAAAGTGGGGTGCAATACTCAGATTCTAGTAAAAAGATCAGACTTAACGGTCTGACTGAGACTGGAAGGACCTCAGAAGACATGGCCCCTGGACACTCTGCTAGCCCAGAACTAAAGCCATTCCCGAAGCCAACCTTTCAGACAAAGAATAGCTTGGACTATAAGACATACAATGATACTAATGAAGAGTGTGCTTCTTATTCTTAGCTCAGGTAGGTACATGAGACTAAATGGGCAACTCCTGTCCAGAGGGAAGGTGAGAAGGCAGAAGGGGTCAGGAGCTGGTTGAGTGGACACAGGAGATCCGGGGTGGAAAGGAATGTGCTGTCGCTTTATAGGGAGAGCAGCTCGGGTCACATAACAATGTGTGTATAAATTTTTGTACGAGAAACTAACTTGAACTGTAAACTTTCACTTAAAGCACAATAAAAAAAAAGTGTTATTAAAATGAATATTTGCTCATTAGTAAAGCTTTTTAGTTGAATTTGTTTTTCCTTAGGTATGTAAAAATGATTAAATTATCCATATTTATCAACATATTTAATCTTTTTTCTTAGCTAATCTCGAGAAAAGGTTTGAGTCGTTCTCTATTTTCTGCAACTAAAAAATGGTTTAGTGGCAGTAAAGTTCCAGAAAAGAGCATTAATGAGCTGAAAAATACATCTGGTTTACTGTGAGTAAAATGTAATTTTGGTTTTTCCTGTTTTTGACTCTAATGTTTGACTATGTAATTCCCTGCAAAAAGTAACTACCTTTTTAGTTCCTTAGTTTCATATTGGTCAAAACTTAGGTAGATAATAAATAACAGTAACTGTAACTAAAATATATTAATTAAAAAAATAGTTTAAGGAATAGAACATCAAAAAATAAACAAGATAACTGGAAAAGTCACTTTACTTTGGGTCTGTTTGCCTTTGTAAAATAATGGAGTTAGATTAGGTATTCATTAATAACTTTTATCTAAAATGTGGTATAGTGATTCTAAGACATGGCATGTATTTAGCAAATTTTATTTGTTTAGTATAAAATCCTGTTTTAAGGAAAGTAAAATTAGCCCATTTTGGATTTTATTTTTTTCCCTATTGTATGTAAAAGTGAGTCACCAGGAATTAAGCGTTTACTTTGTAATTTGACCGTGGAGAAAATGCTTGTCAGATGTTGAGAAGTTCCTAGTATAGGGCTTTAAATTAAATAAACATAGATATAACTGCCTGTTTCTGATATCTTTGAGAAATGACATTTTCTCCTTGGAGGTAGAATTCTTACAAAGCAGGATCAGTTTTCCTCATGTTCTGATCAATTAGACAGCTTGTTATGCATTTTATAATATATCATGGTTTAGGGGTCATAAGATGTAAATTATTTTTGTAACTTACTTTGTATTTACAGGTATCCACCGGAAGCACCAGAGCTACAAATCAGGAAAATGGCTGACTTATGTTTTTTGGTGCAGCATTATGATTTGGCTTATAGTTGCTATCATACTGCCAAAAAGGATTTTCTTAATGAACAAGCAATGCTTTATGCAGCTGGTGCCTTGGTTGGTATTCTACAGTATTATAATTTCTTATTTCTGCTACCATAAATGATTTAGAAATTTGTTTGTAAAATGGCAAACAAAATACCTAGGGATAAAGTTGTACTCAAAGAGCATATAGTGTTTTACAGGTTTTGAATTAGTTTATGCTGCACTCTAACTGGTGCATCTAAAGATGGTCATACATGAGGGTTGATTTCTTAGTTTTGATTGATACCTTCTAATGTTTGGTCAGTTTTCAAAATTTAATAATGAATTTTGTTTTTAATTATATTCAAAGTATAATATAATATACCAAAAAATGGAATATTTGTATACAATATAGGTATTTTTTTAAAGATGATTTTAGACCTCTTGAAAAATGTTTTTAAGTTTCTTGAAATGTGCTTTTCTGGTAGAAGACTATACAGTGAAACCTGTGAGAGCCGGAACTCCATAGGACTACTGTGTTTTTCTGGGTCTTGCAGGTTTTCTGCCTTTGGCAGGGTGCAGTCTTACCACTTTTCTACCATTCTTTGTTAGTGGAAAATATTTGAGTTTTCCTTCTCTGACAGGTTTCTTCCTTACACATGTTCTGGCTTTTACAGGTTTTACTCTGTATTGGCTAAGAACATGTACTTTGGTTTGAGACAGATCGTGATCTTAGGCAAGTTATTGCATATCTGTAAGCCTCAGTTTTCTGATCTATAAAATGTGACTCCTTTGGGCATAGGATTAGATAAGATTAATGCATGTAGAGTGCTTTACATACTGTCTTATGTATAATAAGCTCCCAGTTAGCATTAGTTATGTTAGTTTCCGTCATTGATACGTAAGCCTAGATGTTTTAGGAAAAAATTTTTAATACTTGTTGCCTTATAACTTGTTAATGATTTTGAAAACTTGTCACAAATATATGTATAATCTGCTTTGTGTGAATAGAAAAGAGTAAGACCACTACTGTTGTTTTCTACTTAATCTTTAAAAAAGCCCATAAACAAAAGTGTGAAGAATAAAATATTAGAACTCTAAGTACTTTAATTCATTGGTCATTATCACATGGACACTTGTTTAATTAATAGTAAGTATCTATTTAATACTATATTTGTACAAAACTAAAAGGTAACTTAAAAATGTAAAGCTAAAATACAAAAATTATTTCTTTTTATTTCTCTAATATTTTTAATGAAAAAAAGTCAGCCAACTTTTTAAAAACTTTGTTCAGGAACTGAAATGCTGTGCTCATGAGTGTTTGAAAAATTCTGTGAATTGTACTTGACTAGACATTCTCTGATTCTTTATTATATGCATCTAATATAAGCTAACATGAAATCAAATACTTAATGTTATTTTATTAATACCTTATACGTATGCTTTTATTATTATAAAATATACCTAAAAATGGAATATTTGTATATACTATAGGTAAAATCTTATAGAACTATGACAAAAATTTTTCCTGACTTTATGGTCTGAAGCCTTTTCATTTTTGTCTACCATCTGATAAATAAAGCATTTATATGATTTAGGTGGAGGTATTAGTGGCAATTATATTTGATAAAGTAATTTAACACTGGAAAAATAAAGGGATATCTGCTGTAACATATGTGCAACTCAAAATCATTGTAGTGTGTAAAATCCTACCCTAAAAATAATAGGCCTTGGGGAAAAACGGTTGGGAAGGTCCTCTCAAAACCTGTGCATCTTTGTAACAGGAGCACTAACAAAAACATTGAATGGTAGGGTGGGAGAAGACCTATATAATCTAGAAAGGCAGTTTAGCATGCTGGAGGGTGCCTCAGGGAATATAAAAAGTACATGGAACCAATATGTGAAAACTGGCTGGATATGGAAGGGTTGTGCCAGTGGAAGGGGAGCTCCTAACTAGTGGAGCTGCCATGAAGGTGAGCACAGAGGGACGTGCAGCCTGTCTTAGCCAAGAGCTGTGCAAGGTTGAGACTGCACTTCTCTAGAGAGGTGTCCCAGGGCACCAAAGTGCAAGTGTTCATTTTTTATTTTCTTAAAATACAGCTGAGAGCGTTCCTGCATGTGCAGCAGCTGAGCTGAGGGCTTTTTCCTTTTCTGCTGAAGGTTATTGCTATTTTATTCCCCTTGCTAAAAACCAATACAAATTTCATTTGTACTGATTATCATTTCCCTATTTACTACTCACATATTAGCTAATTGGTAAGATAGAAATATGCTGTGGTAGAATAGACTATATTGTATGCCTTTTTAGATGGGAATTATAGATGATATTTAGTTATGGTAACTACAGGGTAAAAAAATGTATCGCAGCAAAACCAGTAATAGGAATTCTTGAAGAGATACTATGTTTTGGCTGTTTGTCATAATTAACTAAAGGTTAAGTAGATTACTCTTCAGTTCTTAATGAAAATCTTTGTAAAATCTATTAATTCACTGTAGAATATAAGAAATAATTCAATGGATGACAATTGATGGTAATGCAGAAACTTGGGGTGATTGATTATTCAGAGTGTTTTCACTGCTTCTGTAGAAATGATGTCAGTTTTGTTTGTATATTGATTTAATATTTATAGCAGAAGTGAATTGGAAATCAGTTTACGAATTTTTTTTTTTTTAAATTAGCTTGTTTTTCTCATAGAAATTTTTTCTTAGTATAATTGTATTAATCTATGTATGTTTAGGAGCCCTGGTGGCATAGTGATTAAGAGCTACAGCTGCTAAAGAAAAGATCAGCAGTTCGAATCTACGAGTTGCTCCTTGGAAACCCTGTGGGGCAGTTCTGCTCTGTCCTACAGGGTCACTATGAGTCGAAATTGACTCGATGGCAACGAGTTTTTATTTGTTTGGTTTTTATACGTGTGTAGTATATAGAATTCATATGTAGTAAATATAGTGTATTTTTTGTACAGTGTAGTATTGTACTGTATGTTAAATATAAGTTCAACATTTTTGTGTATTGTAGAATTATACTGTGTATTCAGTATATTTAAGTAAAAGTATTAACTAAGAAAACATGTTTCAGAACTGTAGAATATTTTATCATGTGGATATAACATATTTCTATCCAGTTTACTCAGTAAATTTTAGAGCAGACACTGTGCCGAGTGCTGAGGATACAGAGGTACTCTGAAATGGATATGATTCATATTGTCATGGAACTTACAGTCTGTCAGGTTAAAGGCTTTAATCATATCCTAGGTTCTAGGTAACGCAATACAAGTGTTTCATTATATATGTATATTTTATTTTAAATAAGATTGCAAATAAATAAATTTTATTTGTCCTAAGAGTGTAGTGTGGTGTTAACAGGTTTATTTTCCGGTTTATGAAGATTTCTAACTAAATTTTTATTTAAGTTTTTTATTGTGATAAAATATATACATTGAAACCTGTGAGAACTGGAACTTGATGGACTGCCTTGTTTTTCAGGTCTTGCAAGTATTCTGCCTTTGACAGGGTGCAGTCTTACTGCTTTTCTATTGCTCGCTTTAGTGGAAAATATTTAAATTTTTCTTCTTTGACAAGTTTCTGCCTTACACAGGGTCTGGCTTTTGTAGGTTTTACTGTATTATATTTACATTTGTCCATTCATTTAAAATTCTGTAAACTGTAAGAAGCATAATTTCCAAAAAAGACCTAAGGATCTGAAACTCTTTCCTTATCCTTCACAGTATGTGATAAGGTTAAGGGGACTGTTGCTTAAGAACCCCAAGTAGAAATCCTTGGATAATGATAGCTATTGCTTATAGAGCATTTACCAAGGGCCTGGCACTTTTCCAGGTATTCCACATGTATTAATTTATTTAGAATTCTCAACAGTTCTAAGAGATGTGTACTATTATTACCCCTACTTCACAACCAGGGAAATGAAGACACAGAAAAATTAAGTAACTTACCCAAGAATTTCCATATAGTAGGTGGCCTTTTCCACCTTTGACAGGATACAGTCTTACCACATTCTGTTACTCTCTATTAGTGGAAAATGTTTGCATTTCCTTCTCAGACAGGTTCCCGTCTTACAGGTTCCAGCTTTTGCAGGTTTTACTGTTTATACCTTGAAGTGTAATTGCTGGGTCATATGATAATTCTTTGTTTAACTTTTTGAGGAATCATGGAACTGTTTTCCATAGTGGCTGCACCATTTTACCTTCCCACCAGCCATGAATGAGGGTTCCAATTTCTCCACATCCTTGTCAGCACTTGTTACTTTCTGATGTTAGCCATCCCAGTGGGTATGCAATGGTATCTTACTGTTGTTTCGATTTGCATTTCCCTAATGATTAATGAAGCTTTACGGTCGCTATGAGTTGGAATCAACTCTACGGCAGCGGGTTTGGTTTTTTGTGTGGTGCAAACGGTTAATGCGTTTGGCTACTAACAGGTTGTAGGTTTGAGTCCACGCAGAGGTGCCTTGGAAGAAAGGCATCATGATCTACTTCCGAAAAATCAGCCATCGAAAACTGTCGGTGACAACTGGTTTTTAATAATGACATTAAGCATCTATTCATGTGCTTATTGGCCATTTGTATATCTTCTTTGGAGAAATGTCTATTTTAGTGCTTTGCCCATATTTTAATTGGATTGTTCGTCTTTTTGTTGTTGAGCTTTTCTAGCTAAGTTTTTATTAAAACTTGATCTGTACTACAGCACAAGTATGGATATAGTAGGATATTATACTGTGAGCCAAAATCTGTAGTTTAGTCTTTATTTCTAAATCCTTTAGCACCATTACATAGTATTTGAATTATTAACTGAAGTCATAGGCATTGACAGTGATACTGGTTTTAACAATGAAATAAGAAGGCCTAGAAAATCTACAGTAATATATATCGAAGAAATGGTCTTTATACCTTGTGTATGATATGATATAGAGTGTGTGAGTAGCAGAATATATTGACAGTGCAAGCTGTTCTGAACCCTGTTTTTATATTTTGATGCTAATAAATTGGAAAGAGATGTACTTTTTTTGTCTCTCTGTATGGTCCTGTTATTGGTTTGTTGTCTACTAATGAGGAATAGGGAAGAATGGGAGGAGATGGTAGCAGTAATCTTAAGCGAGGCTCACTTGGTACGATACATACACCATAACCCAAAGTATTCACTAGGTCTCGAAAATCTCATTTAAGTACTGAATGACAGACTTCAAAACCTGACTAAAGAATTTTAGTCCTAAAAGAGTATAAATATATTTTCAAGTCTGCATTAGGTTATAAAATTTATACATGTTCATACGTAAAATACTCTAACAAATTTTAGGCTTCATGTGTGGTAAATCCACAGCTTCGAACTGGGTCTAAGCAGTTCAGTTATGGTTGAGGGAAACATGGGGAGTTTACATATTGCATAGCAACCAAATCTCTCGCAGGTGGATTTTGACCCGAGTAAGAAATAGACAGCAGCTCCTGCTCAGAGATGGCAGCCAACTGCACCACTTTGAATGTGTGTCGCTCTCCATAGTCTTGCCAATAATCCAGTCTCCTGAGCCTGATGTGGGAGATTGAATTATTGGCAGGTCTGTGAAGAGCGAGACACATTCACAGCAGCGTTGTCGGCCGCCATCTTTGAGTGGATGCAGTTGCCTGTTTCCTACTTGGGTCAAAATCTACTTGCAGGAGATTTGGTTGCTGTGCAGTGTGTAAACTCCCTGGTTTCCCTCGGCCGTGGCTGAACCACTTAGAACCGGTTTGAAGCCCTGGCTAAACTATAAGAATATTTCTCCTTTTGAAATGCATAAATAATGTCTTTTCGTTTAGGAAATGGCTGCAGTGTCAGCTTTTCTTCAGCCAGGAGCACCTAGGCCATACCCTGCTCATTACATGGATACAGCAATCCAGACATACAGGGATATTTGCAAGTAGGTGACTATAATATTTATTTTCTGTTCATTTAGAGGTAAAGTTTGACATTTACAGTTTTATTAGATAGAAATGGTTTTTTTGTCTTACTGTTTTTCATCCCTTAAACCTTATTTAAAAATCAAAATAATAAAGCCAGAGACAAGATAAGGTTTTTCTTTTGATTAGTATTTCATTACTCCCTCTTCCATATTTTGTTTGGGTTTGTGCTTTAGGAATTTGTTGTATGTAATGTTGAAGTTATATGTTATACTGAGGGTGACTTGTATTATGGGGACATCTCTAACCTTAACTACTGTCAAGCCAGGAGTCAGCCATTTTGAACTTTCCTTCTTAAGTAGTCAAAACATGAAAAGTTAAATAATAGTCCAGGGAAGAAAAGGAGACGTGCTTTGTACACAGAATGACTTGTATTGGAACTCTGTAGGAGTTAGAACTTACCATCTGTAAGGAGACTGTGAACTGGCCTAGAAGTGGCCAGAGGAGGTTTCATGGGTATTTGATGAATAGACCTGGAAAGAATGATGGTTGAGATTTGATAGCCATGAAGACATTTCAGGAATTGTGATTGGCAGGAATAATGTTTTAGATGCAGCATTACTGGTGAAAGAGAATGGAGCCCTGGATAGGTTGAGGGTTTGTGTAGATGGAAAGTACTGGGTAGTAAATTTAGAAAGGTAGTTTGAGATAAATCAGTGTGGGGAGCCTTAACTATCATTTATTATTTTTATTGTTAAGCTGTAGTCAGGATTTATGTAGTAGTAAATGGGGAGTTGTTGAATATTTGAGTAGAGACTTGACATAATATAAGTTATTTTCCAGAAAGATAAATCTGACTTTTGTTTGCAGAGTGGATGGGTTAGAAAGCAGAGATAGCGAGGTGTATTATTGAAGTAGAAATAGTAGTAGTAGTAATACTAAAGTGTTTACAACATCACAATGTTGATTATAAAATAATAATAAATGTTTATTGAGTGCTCAGCATTTGCCACTTTCCCAAAGTGATTTACTCACTCATTTAATCTTCACAATAAACCTATAAAGTGGTGGCTACTGTTTATTATCTCGATTTTACAGATGAGGAAATTGAAGCTTAAAAAGTTTAACTTGCCCAAAGGCACACAGTTAATAGATGTTGGAGCTAGTATTGATCTCACCTCTTAAATTTTATAATCTATTCAAGAATATATTTACAGATTTTTAGCAGAAGATACAGCCTCCTGTGAAAGGAACCACTGAAAGAGACCGACAAGGAAAGGCTCAAGAGGTAGTACTAGGAGAGTGAGGCATCAAGGAAGCCACAGGAGTAAGGAGTTTCAAGAAGTTTGACATTTCTTTCTCTGCACTGTAAAGATCTTCCTTTGTCTTCATGAAGCTCAGAGCTTTGGGAGAGATGCACATGGAATGATGCAAAATAAAAGAGAAAATACCCAATAACCCAGATAGTCAAATAAACCTTGGCACTCCAGTTTCGTCCTGTCTACAACAGACAACATGCTTTTTCTAAATACAACCTTATTGTCATGCATCTGTTTTATAATCTTCATTCTAAGTTGGTATAATTGGTAACATCAATTTAATAATAGATATTTTGGGATAAATTAGGAATACTACATTAATTATACATACCAATTATAAGAAGCTTCTTGATCTCACAAATATTAAAGTGAAAATAAGTTTTCTTAAAATGTAGGAAATACACTATTACTTTTGCTTTTGCATTGCCCTCTTAGAATGCCATACTCTGCTTTTTAAGTGGTGAAATCCTTCCTATTTATCCTTAAAGGGCTTTCTTAATTTCTTTTTTTATGAAGCTTTCACTTTCTTCCTTTTCCCCCAAAGTCATAATAAAAAGTAATCATTCCCTGTTTATTCTCTGGGTTGTAACCATTTTCCACTTTTAAGATAGGGATTGTGTCATAGACATGTTTGAATCCTCAGCACTTACACTGTGCTTGACACATTTTTTTTTTTATTCATTGCTTGAATAAAATAAAGTCTGGGCTTGTAGCCTTGTGACTTAGTAACTGACTACATGAGGAAGTAGGTGAGTAGTCAGACTAAGCAAAATAATAGTTTTAACTAGACTTGGCCACTTACCGGCTGTGAGACCTTGGCTCATTGCTTGAACATGTCTGGGCCTCAGTTTTTCTCACCTGTAAAATGGGGATAATAATAATAATTTTAAAAATGATAGCATTAAGATTTAAGGGAATTTATAAAGGTTTATAAGTTTATTAAGTTAAAAAAAGTTTATTAAGAAAAAAGTTTTAAGACCTTAGTATATTATATATGAATTAAAAAAAAAAAACCTGTTGCTGTTGAGTTGATTCCAACTCATAGTGACCACGTAGGACAGAGTAGAACTGTCCTGTAGGGTGCCAAGGAGCAACCAGTGGATTTGAACTGCCGAATTGTTGGTTAGCAGCCATAGCTCTTAACCACTGCACCACCAGCACTCCATATATGAATAGGTGTTTGTAGTTAGGAGTTAGTCTTTTGTGTTCATTAAAACAATCTTAGGTGTTCAAAATGCTAGCCTTCTAAGAAAAACAATGACCTGTAAAAAGGTTATGGCAGATCACTGCAGTAAGTTTTGAAAGTTGTGAATTGTAGTTGTAAAGTACCATTGTTCAGAATGGCCTTTCACAGTTAGTTCAAGTTAGCAAGCTTTGGTTGTAATTTTAAGGCGAAGAGGTATTTTAACATAAGGATTAAAAAGTAGAAAGAGAAAAAACTTTTGTTACTGTTTCCCAACAAAAGGATTTCATCTTGTAATTTTACAGTGTTTTTATTTACTTTTAATATTTCCAGGAATAAATAATCCAAGTGTTGATTATTAATATAATAATTCACAAAGAAAAATCAACTGATTGTGTATTTTTACAAAGAAAATTTGGCTCAGGAATCGGTCAGGCAACACTGGTCCTATCCTATCTCCAGTTAAAACATCTCAATTATAATATCAGAGGGAAAATACCTAAACATTCCTAACAGTAGCCACCAAAATGAAACACATGACTGTAGTTTGTAGTGAGAAAGGAGAAAGAAATGTAGTGAAATGTTTATATTCCTTTCTGTTCAGAGCAATTTTTATTTGTTAGTTGCTGAGTCAGAAATACCAGTTGTGTTCTGGCTTTGTGCATGCAGGGAATGTGACTTTACATTGTATTCTCACTATACAATTATAAGAATAAGTTTTGATGACTTTATGAGAATTCTTTGAAGATTTTAACCTTTTTGGTAAGTGGACAATAAGGATGAAAAACTTCTTTCATGAAAACCGGAATTGGAAACTTGTGTTAAACATATGGTTTCCATAATGTGCTTAGGTATTGCTGTGTTAATTATATTTTTCTTGTCTTTTTTTCTTTAGGAATATGGCGTTGGCTGAAAGATGTGTATTGCTTAGTGCTGAAATTTTGAAAAGCCAAAGCAAATATTCAGAGGCTGCAGCTCTCCTAATACGGTTGACCAGTGAGGTACTAAAACTGTATAATGTGTTATACAGTAATTAATATATTACTGTTTAATAATTTTTTAAAGCTGTGTCATTTTTCTTGTGTACAAAACACACAATTAGGAGAAATTTTTCTTTGGGAATTTACAACATGGTTACTTCAGTTACTTGTTGAATTAATTTTAAATGCAGTTTTTTATAAAGTGAATTTATTTGTAGATTTTAAGAGTATATTTCATTATTATTAACCACAAACATGTATTGAACATCTTCTTTGAATTATATTCTGTCCTGTGCATAACAGTAGTTAAAGCCACATGCATGTGCATTGTTCCCAATATAAATCATTGAGGAATTTTTAATCTTATTTTCGAGCAGTATGAACTTTTTAAGAATATCATCTTAAGCATTTTAAAAAAACTATATTACGAATATTTGAAAAAGGAGAAAAAGCAACCTGTTTGTAGTTGCTCTTGACTGCAGGCTTATAAAGAATGATAGTAATTCCTTTATAGGTACTGTATGGTTAAAGACACAGTTTTTAGGTGAATAAGAACAAAAGGACAAAATCAAACACCTCTTTTGTTCACCTGTTAAATGTAATGTGCCCTATGGTTTTAATCCTTGGGCCACTGTACTTTTTATTCCTCATTTTTTGAGTGATTTTGTTCATATTCACAAACTTAAGCTTTAAAACGCATGAACCTTGACTTGTATGGCCAACTGTCTTTTAGACTTGTCTATTTGAATGTCTCCAAGACACCTTAAGTGAACATTGTCAATAACTAAACTCATAAACTCTCTTACTTGATATATTGTGATCTTAAATTATGTTATCACTGGCTAGCTTCTCATTTGCTTAAGACAGAAATTGCTTGAGATGCTCCTGTATTGCCCCATTCAGTCAGTAACAATTGGGGTGGGAGGTGGTTAACCTCTTACACATTTTCTTTTTATATCTCCAAATATTTCACTTATATCTCCTTTTTTTTCTTTTTCTTAAGCCCCTCCTATTGTCCTGGTTCATGTCTTTAATATCTTTCTTCTGAACTATGGCCTCTTTCTTCTTTCTTCACCTAGTTTACTAATCCTGGTATCAGTCATATCCTTCAGATAGTCTTCCCCAGTACCCCAAGTTATCCTGAGTGTCGTGTTCTGCCCTCTCATATGACATTAAGACCCAACTTGCCATATTATATTGGAAATTGTATTTAAGCTGTTAGCTCTTTAAGTACAGGGAACTGTGTTGCCTTCTACATTTTTATCCCTAGTCCCTAACACTAGGCTTGTCACATGGTAAGTGCTGTACAGATCATTGTCAAGCCAAACCTTCTAAAGGTTCTTAAGGCTTCTGTAAGGTATTACTAGTTAGGTTCAGGGGTGAAATTAAAAATGTTTAAAAATTGCTATTACATGAACTCTGACCAGTATGATGAACAGGTGTCAGACATAAACTATTTGGTAGAGCTGAATACAGGCTTTTGGTGTATTGATGTGTTCTATATTATAATAAATAATTTTAAGGTCTTATAGCCCTTGTTGTCTGTTAACTGTGTTTAAATATGGGAAATCAGTTTCTCAGGGATAATAATAACAGCAACTTTTTTATAAGTTTCTCCAGCTTTGGAGGGACTGTCCCTATGGTAAATTGATTAGCTGATAGCATTTTTCCAGTTAACTTTCCAATTACGCAAAGAAAAATATTAAAGTCTTAGAGTCATCCTTAGGTTGAGATTTGATTCAGTTAAGTAGCTGTAACTGATCCCTTCATCATCCTTGTTTTTATGGAAATATTTATTGAAGCTTCTATCTCATATCATGTTTTTCCTATATGTATTCTCGTAAATTAATGCTGCCTTTTCAGCATTTGCTAAAATTATCTCTTGGTTATGGACAAAGTTTTCGTAGGTTGGAATTCTTGCTGTAGTGCTAGTACAGATTTTTTTTATCTTAGTTTCTCATAGAGTGTAGATAATGGACTGGTCATATTGTAAGTATGAACGACTCCTAAATTAAAATTGTATTTTTCAACTCATGCAGAGCCTCTGCTTTCTGGATGAAACTGTCACTTCGTGAAATCCTTTCATTTCTCTTTGTCATCAACATTGGTGGCAGTTGTCATTCTTTTAAGGGCCCCTTTTTTTTAAAAAAAAAAAAATACAAAGCAATAGTTTTTACTATATTGGATGTCACTATAAGAGACAGGATTTATGGGTTTATGAAGAACAAAGCTGCAATGGGATGTGAATGTAGAGTATTCAGCTCTGCAGACTGGTACTTTCTCAGACAACAACCTTACTTCATGCAAGGGTCAAATTTTGCTTCAGATAAATTGATACATGCGATGGACTTTCAGGTCACTCCTGAATTGGCCATTTCTTGAATGTTAAATTTGAGAATGCTGAGGTTTTATTGCAGTGGTTCTTAACTGGATTGTACGTTAGAGTGAGTTACAAAACAAAATGATATCCAGGGCATATTCCTTATATTAATCAGAATGGCCAGGATTGTAGCCCATCCAAGTTTTGGGTTTACTGAAGCTTCACAGGCAATTAAAAAATACATGGATGGATGGATGGATGGATAGATGGTGTGTTTGTATGTGTATGTATGTACTGGGAATAAATTTAAGAAATCTGTAGGACTTAAGGAAAAAACTGTGGAAGTCTATTGAGAGGCCCGAACACAATTCCAAAACAGAAATAATTAGAGGGAATTACCTGCAGTAGTGGCTCAGTTAAGAGCTGCGGCTGCTAACCAAAGTATCGGCACTTCAAATCCACCAGCTGCTCATTTGAAACCCTATGGGGCAGTTCTGCTCTGTTCTGTAGGGTCACTCTGAGTCAGAATCAACTCAGTGGCAATAGGTTTGGTTTTTTTTTTTTGCGGGGGGTGGGGATAGGGGTGTAGCTATTAAATCCATTCGAAAGCTACAGAAGTTAAAACTGTGTACAGTGATAGGAATAGACAGAATAATGGAGTGGAATGGGAATTTAAATATTATATATAATTAGGGTATCATTTAAAATCAGTGGGAAAAGATAGATTTATTGAATGATATTGCAACATCTGACCAGCTATTTGGGGTCGGATTTCTCCTTACTCATTACATGATAATAAATTATAGTTCACTTAGCTATGTTAGAAAAAATGAGATCAATATAATATAAGAAATTTTAAAAAAAAGAAAACTGAAAGAAAATATAGGAGAATATTTATTTAAATCTAGGATTGGGAACATCCTTTCTTAATTTGATGTAATATCTTGAAGTCATAAAGGCAAAGACAATATGCTAGCCCACAAAAGAATAAACTCGTCCATGTCAAACTGGGAAGTACTGTTTGCAAAATGTATGACAAAGGACTAATATTGATAAAGGGCTCTTACAAACCAGAAAAGTCACAAAAACCCATTCACAAAAGGGTATAAACAGGCAATTCATAGAAAAACTACAAAGGCCTCTAAGCACATGAAAAGATGAACAGCCTTGCTAGTAAAGAAGTGCATGTTAATTAATAAGATGTTACTTTCTTTTATTAGATAGATGAAAATTAAAACAAAATAAAGATTTTTTGAGTAGAGTGGAAAACATGCACTCATTCTCTGTTGATGAGAATATGTATTGGTACTACTTTTTCTCTAGCAGTTTGGCTATATCAATTAAAATTTGAAGTAGCTGAATAGCTTTTGATAACACAGCGGTTTTACTTCCAGAAATTTATCTAATAGAAATGTTTGTGTAATTCAAAAATGTTTTTATAAAGATGCTTAATGAAGCATTTTTTTTGTAGTAACAAAAACATGGTAATAATATTAAATCAATTGGGGATTGTATTCATAAATTACAGTCCACCTATGTAATGCAATGCAGTGTATTTTTAAAAACGATGAGATAATAGATGTCTTAGAAAGATGTCTATAAAAAAAGACACAGAATACCCTGTATAATACATTTATATATTTATGTATATTTAAAGAAAACTACGTATGAGGTGTGTAACTACATGTATATATGGAGAGAGAGAAATGATATACACCAGCACCAGACTGGTAGCAGTAGTTACTTCTGGCAAATGGGATGAGACTTGAGGTGGAAAACAGGATGTTCACTTTTTGTTCAAACGTTTAATTTTTTTTTTAAGGTCTGTTATTTTCACAATTTCAAAAAGAAAAGATTAAAAAAAAAAGGAAACTCCTAGCTAATTCTGATGTAAACGGTTGGTTAAGAACCACTAGTCTATTGTGTATTCCTGATTTTTCCACTTACTATCTTTTGGATCCTCCTAGAGAAGTTATCTGATCATTTAGTTTTTGTCACGTGAAATGAAGAGGTTGAAATAGACAATAATAGCTATCATTTACTCAGTGCTTACTAGATGAATCCCTAGGATCTGTTTTGGCTTTAATATAATTTTATGGTTGTACAGAGATAGTTTATAATTATCAATGGTCTGTGAACATTTTTTGATGTAACTATAATATGTTGAAATTATTGCATTTAAAGTCAATGTTTTCTGTTTTCAACTTTCCCTGGGGAAAATAATGGCAGCAGAACACATGGAAGGGCATGGTAAGTTCAGCTTGAGAATAGCTGAAAACCTTGAGAAAGTTTGGGGAAATGTTGTTGATACTTAATCAGCAACCTTCGGTACTTTCTCAGTTATTTATAAAATGATGACTCTTTCAGTTGAAAGGTTATCCTTCTGGGTAATGGTGTAAATGCAGTATGTGGTTTTTGAATATATTGTATTGTAAGGGTCAGCTGAAGTGGAAACTAATTTGAGTTGTACCAGTTTCTAATATACTAATAGCAGGTAAAAAGGTAATCTTTGAAGGGAAAGCTTTCTGAACTTTTTAATAAAAAGCAATCATTTTGGCCTCTTGAATTATGGCAGAGATTGAGAATTCCTTTTAATTAGAGTAAAACTTTCCAGAATATAAAGTATTAGATTAGATTAATTCATAGTCTATGCACATTCTGTTTTACCTTTCTTTTTTTCTTGGATGGATGGAAATATGCTATTGAATGTCACAGATCAGTTTCCAGAAGAAATTAGATGGGTGTGAATCTGTTTTATTCTGTGCTCTGTTTTCTGTTATCTTTCATCGGTATGCCTGTGTTAAATTTCCAGTTTATGTACTTCTTTGCCCACTTGAAAAAAAAATTACATTTCTTCAGAGATATGTTATATGGTGCATATCATACCCAGACAGTTGGCTTTTATAAAAAGCAAAATAAGATGTTTCATGGTAAAGAATTTTTTGAAGGCTTTTTTCTCTGTTTTCTTAATGTAAGCTTATTGGAATAAAGACTCATCAAGACTGGTTTGCCCCTTGATCTCTGCTCTCATATACTCTAAGCTAAACATTGAATATGCTATATAGGCTTAAGAAAGTGAATATTTTTCACCAGTTATCTTTTTAATTTTGTGAGACTAATCTTTTCTTTTAAACATTCAATAGGATTCTGATCTTCGAAGTGCACTTCTTTTGGAACAGGCGGCACATTGCTTTATAAACATGAAGAGTCCCATGGTTAGAAAATATGCATTTCATATGATACTGGCAGGCCATCGGTTTAGTAAAGCAGGACAGGTGAGTGCATTTTCTTTAAAAAGAAAAGGAAATCGTTATTTATTAATTTATTTTATAAACATCATTTGCCAATTTTTTAAGATTTAAAATTTATCCTAAAATTGAAATAAACTTTGTTTTGAGGTAATGTATTATAGTGGTAATACATTTAGGATATGGGCTTGGATTTAGACAAATCTGGGTTTAAATCTTGATCTTCTGCTCACAACTAGACTTTGGTCAAGTTTCTTAACTTCTCTGAGCCTCAGTTTTTTTATTTTTAAAATTTAGAATTATATCCAAATGTTTGTGAGGCTAAACCTAATAATATACATGAAGGGCCAAATGCATTGTGTGTATTCAATAAATGTTAATAATATTTAACAGCGCATGAGCTCTCCCTACTTTGGCTCTCGTCTTTTGTTGGCTCTCTGAGTCTTTTATAATGGTGTTGACTAAATATTTAATGTGTAGAAATCTTCTATCTCCTTCCCTGAAAGCACCTGGCTTGGAGAGATCTCTATTGATCTAAGAGGGATTTTCCCAGCTCCAGTTGTCCCTTGCATTAGTTTGAGTAGCTTTGCTGGAGGCTAAGAGTGGTAGCAGTACTGAGATAGTGGTATACTGTAAATACTGATAAGAACGTGAATTGAATTATCTCTATTTAAAATGTGTGTTATTTCAAAGTTACAAAGAAATAAAGATGTTCAAAAATTAATATCAATTTCAGATAGAAATGTGATTTTTAAAAACTAGCCTTTCAAGATTGAGATCCTTCTATTTTTGGAAACTTTGGAAAGAAAATATGTGGAATTGCTTTATATTAAGTACAAAACCTTAAAAAATAGTTAGTATAAAATTAAATGTCTTTTTATAATAATTGATATACTCCATGAATTAGAATTTCTCAGTCTCAAAAATGGAAAAAAATTTAAAACCATTAACTAATTTTTCACTGCCCCTTTCCTGCAGTAAACGCTGACGCATATGAACCATATTATCTGTCCCTCTTTGCTTAAAAGTTTTTTATTCAAAAGGTTACAAAATTTTAAGCTTGCAGTTTTTCCTTAGAAGGAAAATTATGTATATCCCATTAAGAATGTTCCCTTGTCCCTTCTTATTGAAAAATAAGTCATCCTTTTTCCACATCTTTGTCCACTTTTGTGAATGGTTTTATTTGGCAGAGTGATGAAATTATTGGAAGTGGAAGCAGCTGCTCATATTTACCTTCTCAAACTATAGGGCATATTACTTCTAGGAAATGCCTAGCAAGTTAAAAATGCTACGTTTGTGGTAGATTGAGGTATAATGCTATCTGTCCTCATAATCATCTCAAACTGTCGTTACCCTGGGGTTAATGATTCCAAGGTAGTTGGTTTTGTTAGTTCACGGCCACTGTCTGTACATCCCTAACCCAGGATAGCTCTTTCACAAACAGTAGATAGGAGTGCATGTCATTGGAAAAGCAACTGTATGTCCTATTGAAGTTGGTCAAAATAGTATCTTCCTTGGACAACAGAGTACAGAGTACATGGCACCTACAATTCTGACTGAGGCCAAGTTATTTCTGAGACATACTAACTTTTCATGACATTTCCATAAAAGATAAGAGTGTATTGGCAGGGATGGGTGAGGAAAAGAGAAGAGAATATGTAATAATGTCATTGCTGTCAGTCTTCTTTCTGATTGAAAGCTCATGCTAAATTGCTTATCTTGTCCCCAGAAATTTTTATAGTTCAGATATTTTTTTCATTAAGAATATTAATAAGTAAAAGGCATTTTAAAAAACAGAACTACCATTATAAAAGTTTTAAACAGTAAAAAAAAATTGGAGAATGCTGGGGAGCATTATGTGTTTGTATCTACTATAACCTGGACAATCTTTCTTCCTGTTCTTCAAAAAACAGACATTGAATTCTTGTCACTGCTCTTAAATATATTTAGATACTTTCCCAAGAAATACTCAGAAATGCACTTGAGGTAGATTCATAGATGCATGCAGTTGTTTCTCTGTATCTGTCAGTTTTAAAGATTCTTTCTGTGTTGCTTTACTAAATGCTAAATAGAGATTAGAGTTTTTTTGTTTTTAAGAAACGTTGCTTTGAAAATTATTTTTAAACAATCTCAAACTTACAGAAAAGTTGCCAGTACGGCTTAGAGGCTTCTTTTTATCTGAGCCATTTGAGAATGAAGTTTTTCACCTCTTGCCCCATTACTCTCAAATATTTTGGTATATTTCCTATTTCCTAAAAACAAGAATGGATTTTTACATAAGTATAATAAGTCCATTTGCAGTTGAGTCAGTTCCAACTCATGGTGACTCCATATGTGTCAGAGTAGAATAGCTATAATACAACAATCAAAATCCAGAAATTAGCATTGATACAGTGGTTCCATCTAATACTCAGACCCCATTCAGGTTTTGAGAAGGGTGCCATAAACGTTTTTTATAGCACAAGAATGCTGTTCAGAAGATCCTTTGAATTTTATAACCTTGACACTTCTGAAGATTACAGGCCAATTATTTTGTAGAGTGTCCTTCAACTTAGGTTTCTCTGATGTTTTCTCATGATGAGATTCAAATTTGGCATCTTTGCCTTGGTGATTTTCTTTTGGGGTCTCTCCTATATGGGTTTCGTTGAGCTTCTTGGATGGCCAGCTTTTCATCTTTCAGGATATTAGGGAAGTTTTCTGTCAGCAGTTCTTCAATGATCCTCTCTGTGTTTTCTGTTTTCTTCCCCTGTTCTGGAATTCCAATCACTCGCAGATTTTTGCTTTTGATTGTATCCCACATAACTCTCAGGGTCTCTTCATTTTTCTTTGTTCTTTTTT